CCCCACCACCGGAACCAACTCACCACCAGGTAGTGAAGAGTGAACAGTTCAGCACCTCTCTTCACACGAGTGGCCAAGACAAACGGCCGCAGAATCGATGAAACAATGACAAAGTCACCCACATTTCTTTGCTTTACAGTTTTTCTTGATCAAGTTAAAGATAAATACAAAAAAATAGAAAAGAAGCCCTGATGCTACATCATGAAAACAAAAATACTAATGGAACTAAATGTCCTTCTTAAAAGAAACTATGAATCTTGTGATTTCATAGACAAGAAATGTTACAAGAAATTCATAAGGAACACTCTGTTATGGACAAAAGGACTCTTTGTCTTTTCTCTATCTGTGTTAGAATTATGTTTGTTATCATTCTTACATTTGTAATTTTATGTTACTAGTTGTCTTTCTATTTAGAGGTCTAGTCTTCAAATTTGTTGAAACTGTGGAGACACAATCATTCTTACATTAACCTCAAGCATGTTTTTACAGATGGTGACTTAGATCTTCCTGGGATACTCCTGAGCTGTAAACCTATCTGTGTGTTAATTAAGTTTCTGTGTCCCCCTGTGGTGTTTCTGAATTTGCATTCTACTGTGAAGATAGGATGTGGGTTTCACCCCCTCCATTCCTTTTCACACCCTTCTTGCTAATAAAAGAGACAAACAAACTGAAGGTTTTCAGAACACATGGTGAGCGGCTTGGAGAAGCAGTTCACTGTGTCTTCTCCTTCTGCAGAAGTTTGGTTGAAAACTCATATACGTTGTCTGTGGTTCTTTCTTTTTTATGTAGGTTTGAGAAAATACCTATCAATCTGCTTTATCTGCTCTCACGCATAAGGCTTCTCACTGACATAACCATAACATTTAAGACTGGTGATAGTCACACAAATAAAAACTGATTAAGGCAGGCCAACACCTTCGAGGGAGCAGAATGAGGAGGAAATAAAGCAGAACTCGCGCTACAATCTTTGCTTCACTTGGTGTCAAAGAAAGGTGAGCTGAGTGGAGCCTAGCGCTGGACGGTCATTACAATATGCCACATGAAATCATTTAAACATGTTTTTGAAAAAATATTTCAAATATGTCCTGATCTTACACATTTTGTCTGAGAAAAACTGACAGGAACTAAGTTCACTCTGTGTCTCACAGGTAGGATGTTGATCTCCAAATATATTTCATGACTGAGAAACACCAACCTGTTAGTATCTCAGACCATGTAATTTATATATAAACAATTTCTTGCGTAGCAGACAGTGGACAGCTATCTAATAGCCATTTTCTTATGTTTATATTGTGTAAATGCACACAAACCACTAAAGTGGACACTAGTGCTTCATACAATACACTGCCAACTGCTGGCCATCCACAGCACCACCCTGGAGCAAGGCCTAGAGGTGTGGCATGCTTGTGAGCGCCTGGTGGCTGGGCTTTTACCCATGGGGCCCAGTGGTGGTGAGTTGGCTCCTGGTAGTGGGGGAAGATGCCGGTCAGGCCTGGTCAGGCCCAAATGTGTTGTGAGGAGGTCGCCTCCATGATTAAAGAGCTTTTCAGTGGCAAGCTCAGTCACTTGGAAGGAACTCAAAGTAAAGCTGCTGCTATTTCACATCAAGAGGAGCCAGTTGAGGTGGCTTGGGCATCTGCTCAAGATGTCTCATGGACGCCTCCATGGTGAGGTTTTCTGGACATGTCCCACCAGGAGAAGGCCCTGAGGAAGACCCAGGAAACACTGGAGGGACTAAGTTTTCCAGGTGGCCTGGGAACGCCTTGGGAATCCCCCAGAGGAACTGGAACAAGTGGCTGGGGAGAGGGAAGTCTGGGCCTCCCTACTTAGACTGCTATTCCTTAGACCTCATCCCGGAGAAGATGGATGGATGGATGGATGGATGGATGGATGGATGGATGGATGGATGGATGGATGGATGGATGGATGGATGGATGGATGGATGATTGTGTGAATTTCTGAGTTTTAATTTTTTGTTGAAATTTTGCATTTACAACAAATTCAAATGCTCTTCACCAGCCAGCAATGTAATATTGTTATTATTCAAAATAACAAAATAACCTTGTCTGTTTGTGGAGGAGGGGTGTCATCTCCAGTCCTCAAGGTAACTGTCCTGCAGTTTTTAGATGTGTCACAGGTACAAAACACTGGAATGAAATGGCTAAATTAACTCCTTGTGTAGATAAGTCCTCCAGAGTCTTGCTGATGACCTAATTATTCTATTCAGGTGTGGTGCAGCAGAGGCACATCTAAAGGTTGCAAGGCAGTGGCACTCAAGGACTGGAGTTTGACACCTGTGGTACAGAGGGTTGTTTTCACAGCTCATCAATGAACAAAAATTATTCTACTGTCTTGTGCGGACAGATGAGAATTCTTGTATACTGGAAACCAAACAGTTCTTTCCTAAAGAAACATCAAGCTGAAAACAAGAACAAGTTACTCTTTCTTTGTAAACAGTGCTTCTTCATCAAGTTTTCACTTGAGCAAAACTCATTGCAAACTTCTGCACTGAAAAAGCAGAAAATTTGCCAATTATTTTAAATCTAGTTTCTAGTGTAAATCTCTGTCACCTGAGAAAAGGCAAAACTTACAATTAACTTTACAGCAAAATAAAGGATTTTCTTATTTTAAGTCAATTCCTTTATATTGATGAAAAAGTTATTGTTTCATTGGCTGATTATTTAACATGTAAAAGGGGAAATGTTTGGATATTAGTGAAATGATCTGTCAATGGAACAAGAACTTTTTTCAAGTTTCTTTAGAACGATGAGATGTTAAAGTCACTCTGTATGCAGATGACGCGCAGATCGGTGTCTGTCCTGTGATTGGTGGCTTTCTTTCCAGCAGGAAGTTGTGAACAGTTTAAAAGCTGCTGCAGGACTGCAGACATTCACAGGAAGCTGGACCAGCAATGGCTCTGCTGAAGGTTTTGATGCTGCTGGGGCTGGGTGAGTCTGAAGCACTGGACACACTGGGGAAACTGGACACACTGGAGACACTTCCACTGGTTGCAGGGAGGCTGCTGCTCTCTGTGACTCTCAAACTTCCCTCTGATTCTGTTTCAGATTGAAACTTTTTTGCATATCAACTGTGATGTTTTTTAATCTTTAACTGTTTATCCTTTTTCTGCTCCAGCAGCCATGTTTGTACATGGTTTCTGAGTAAAATCCTCCTTTTCCTTCTCCAGGTGTTTCAGTGAACTCAGCTGTTTCTCTGCAGAAGAGAATCATTGGAGGTAATGACTGTGACAAAAAGGAGCATCGTTATCATGTACGGCTGGAGATCGGCAAGGGTACTCATAGGAGACTGTGTGGAGGATCTCTGATCCACCCTCAGTGGATCCTGACTACAGATACCTGCTGGAAGGTGGAGACTGGGTGGTAAGAAAGAGACACAAAGACAGTTTTATCTGCAAATCATCTGATTTTCTGTGTGTTCATTATAATCTAACCTTTTCTGCAGGATTAATGCAGCAACAATAAAAATTCATCCACTGACTGCTAAAGAAAGAGTTCCCAGAATCCAAAAGAAACCTGCGATTTATGCTCCCGAAGGCTGGCGGCATGACATCATGTTGCTGAAGCTTCGGAAACCAGTAACGGGTGTCCCACCTGTTCCACTACCAGACTGCACTAAACGCCCTAAAGTGTAAGTCTTTCTCTGATCAAAAACATGACTTCAGGTTTTCTGTCTCCAGTCCTGCTACCTCTGCTTCAGCACACCTGAGTCAGGTAATCAGGCCACCAGCAGAACCAGAACCAGTTTAGCTCAGGTGTGTTGGACCAGAGACACATGTAAAGGACACAGGACAATGAGGACTGGAGGAGGACACTCCTGTGTCAGTGGATGAAGTCCTTCATGGATTTATTTCCTTTTCTTTACAAAGAATAAATGTTCTAAATTGTTGTCTTGTATTATTACATTTTATTCTAATTGTGTTTTAGAGGTGATACTGTTCAGCTGGCAGGAGAGGGAAGAACAACCGGCCCCAATAATCGGTCATGTGAGAGAAATATTAAAGTTATGAGAATAAAATCTTTGTTTCTGTCTCTACATAGAAGGTTGAGTGAAGAACATGTTTATGATTCTCATGTTTCTCTCCAGTACCTGATGCTGCTATTGCACCACGTCTTCAGTGTGTCAACATGAACGTTGTTGAGGTTTCCAACTTCCTGCCAGGATATGGCCATACATTCTCTGCTGGAGGACCAAACAAGGATGTATGTAATGTAAGTTTGTTTCTTCAATATCTCTCTCCAGTGATTAGAAAACTTTTCTGTTTTACAACATAAATACATATATTGATATAATTTTTTCTACAGGGTGACGTTGGTTCAGCTGTGGTGTTCAACAACATGATTTATGGTGTGATTTCTCCAGGTGTATCAGAGAATCCATGTCGGAACCCAGTTTCAATCACTGATGTGTGTGAATACATTGGGTGGATAAGAACAACAATTGGGATTCAATAACACAAACTGTTATGAAATATAATTCTCATCAAATTTCCTCAGATATAATGTTATTATTGTATCTTGATCAGTTTGATCCACATGTTTGTAGAATTAGAATAAATCAATAACTATGATTTTCTCATCTCTACTTGACCTCCCTAATGGATCTTTCTCTGTCTCAGAAATGACCAATAAATCAATAAATGCATTGAAAAAGCAACATTTCCTGGCTGATCGTCTTTACATTCATGGTTCAGTTTGTTCAGTTGATCAGTTGATATTTTCCCTGAACTGAGTCTGGAAATGTGACAAGTTTTTAATCACATGAAGAGGAACACCAGAAGTAATTTATTTTGTTCAGTTTGTATCTTTTATATCAGAAATGAAAATCATCTAAACTCTGCAGCTCTGGAGTTACTATTCCTGATTTAGTTCTAGAGAAAATTAAACTCCACCAAGACCAAAGAGCTGTGCACAAAAATGATGAAACAGAAGTTGCATAATACAACATTTAACAAATAATAAAATCCTAATGTAAAAATAATAACAAATAACATCATGTGTTTAGTGAAGATACAAAGGAAATTAGTTCAAACGTCAAAATCTGGAACAAAATAAGCTTTAAGAAAATATTTGAAAACAGATAAGACTAATTAATGGTACCTTCTGTAGCCACAAATTTAACATAAAAATTAGTGTAGAAACGTTTTCTATATTGCAGTGACACAAATGTCATTGTTAATTAAAATTTTTAATTTTAACACTTCATATAGGTATTCATATAGTTATAAAAAGAGTTATCTTAAAAATATTAACATTAAAATTGCCTGCATTTCTTTCAATGTTGAAATTAAAATCTATTTTACATTCTCCATTAATTTTATAGTAACATCTGGAAAAAGTAAAAAGATGTAAAAAAAAAAAAAAAAAAGTACTGTGAAAATATGTCATTAATACTTCATTGTTACAGTGTTTTTCACTGATGATACATCAAACAGAAAAGAATGTTTGCCTCAGGGCAGTGCAGAGACCTTTGGAGGGGTGGGAGCAGTGGTGGCGCAGGGGCAAAGCACAACCCATGTATAGAGGCCTTAGTCCTCATGCCGGTGGTCGCAGATTCAATTCCTGACCTCGTGACATTTGCCACATGTCTTCCCCCTCTCTCATAACCTTCTTTCCTGTCAAATTACTTTCAAATAAAGGCCACTAGAGCCAACAAAACCTTTTTAAAAAAAACTTAAAATGAGGCACACTGAACGAGATCTTAAAACATCGT